AAGGGTTAACAAGTCTTTCTCTGTCACGAGGAGACGAGCTGTCTTCAGTTTATTTGCAGCACGGCAGCTTTAATTTAGGTGGCAGGGCAGCGCAGTGTTGACACTCGTGCCTCGCAGCAAGAAGGCGCTGGATTCGATTCCCGACTCGGGCGCTTTCCCGTGTGCCGTTTGTATTGGCGCATCTCAAATTGGCGGGGTTGGCTACGTATGGTGTGAAAGAAGTTCAACATCCATACATACGTATGTACTCCCTTTTTTCTGCGTGGGCTTCCTCCAGTTTTACCGGTCTCCTCCCGGAGCTAAAAAAAAACAAAAACCCCACAATATTACTGGTATCGGCCAAACTTTCCCAATGCCGCAAAATTACCTGCAAATGGTTCAATTGAGATTACAGACGGCCACGTCGCCCCCTGCGGTGAAAATATGGCAGGACCCTTCTGAAAAATTATCTTGAGACTCAGCGAGGCTTTTCTGGGTGTATAAGAGTACGAATAACAATAATATATCTCAGTACAGGCTGGGTTCTCCGATGTATTTCCAGTCTGTGCCGCGTGATGTCTGACGTCTCGCTCCAATTCAGTTCCGTGAATAATTAAATTTCATTTCCCCACCCCTGAAGAATCTCCCAGCACGTGGAGCGAAGCGTTGGACACAATGCCGAACAAAGCGTTGGACACTGAGCAGCAACGCCGAACAAAGAGTTGGACACAATGCCGAACAAAGAGTTGGACACAATGCCGAACAAAGAGTTGGACACAATGCCGGACAAAGAGTTGGACACAATGCCGAACAAAGAGTTGGACACAATGCCGGACAAAGCCTTGGACACAACGCCGAACAAAGAGTTGGACACAATGCCGAACAAAGAGTTGGACACAATGCCGAACAAAGAGTTGGACACAATGCCGAACAAAGAGTTGGACACAAAGCCGACCAAAGAGTTGGACACAAGCCCGAACAAAGAGTTGGACACAATACCGAACAAAGAGTTGAACACAATGCCGAACAAAGAGTTGGACACAACGCCGAACAAAGAGTTGGACACAATGCCGAACAAAGAGTTGGACACAAAGCCGACCAAAGCGTTGGACACAATGCCGGACAAAGCCGCGGCACGAGCTGAAAAAAAAACGGACCAGAAAGCGACGCAGCGCAGCCGCGAAAAACCCGCACGTGGGTGCAGGTGTCAGTAATTGGCTGCAGAGAACCGCACGTTATAGGGCTTAGTGTCCAGAGGGCTTCACGTTAGGACACAGCTGCCTTGTTCGATTAACGTCTCTCTAGTGAAATGAAAGAAATGTGGAGAACTAAACCGAACGGGAGCGCTGACCTCTTTCCAAAATTCTGCGTCTGTGGAACACGCACACACGCACACAGGGAGTCCCCGTCTTCGTGAGGCTCCTCTGTGGTACAGCATAGGGGTGGGGCAGAATGTCGCCGCACGAGTGACCAGAGGCAGCTAGGCGACAGGCTCATGTTCCAACTCACACACGCGCACACGTGCGCTCGGCATTATTGTTGGACTCCATCATTCTGTTTGAGATGTTGCTCTTGTTGCCCCCTCCTCCCAACCCCCCTGCCCTACTCCCCCCCCCCCACCTCTCCACTGCCCTTCTAGCCATAGGCATAACCGCTCAAGTGTCCCGCCTCGATCAATTTCAGTGCTAACACGAGCACACAACGGGCTGCGAGAGAGGAAAGGGATGCAGGATTTCCGCGGGATAGCCGTCGCGCCACGCTGCGCAGAGGTTACCACGGGGGTGGGGGGTGGGGGGCGTGGGGGAGAGGAAAGCGCGCCGGCTCACACCGCGATTTCCAGACGCGACAAAGACCCCCGCGCTCATCCTGAACCGCGAACAGCCGCCACAACTGAACAACCGATCGAGGGGCGTCGTCCAAGCGGACTCGCAGGCGACGCGGCTTTTACGCACGCGGCCGCCGCCGTTAGCATCGTCCGCTGATTTGATTGGAAAGAGGCTAAAAGACATCGTCGGCGAGAGAGCGGCGGCGGCGGCTTCAGGTAATGGATCGCGGTGGTCTGCAGTGGCGCTTTTGCGAGATGAGGTCAGTAATGGATGCGACAGCGCCCGTATGCAGCCACTCACGGGTGGGAAATATACGACCGACCCCCGCCCCGTCTCCTCCAGCTCACGCTCGCTCGCTCGCTCGGACCTCCATCGCTGAGCGCTCGCTCCCGCAGTACACGTCGTCACCAGTGTTGGCAACGCGCAGTCCCCCCCACTCCCCCCCCCCCCCCCCACTTGAGATTAGGTCAGAAGCCACGACGATCCGAGGTCAAAAAAATGCAATTGTCCGACCGTGGGCACCGTGTCGTTGTTGTTGCTGCCCAACGGAGCGACGCGAGTGATGGTTCGCCGGAGGTGAGTTATCGTGCGAGGAGACGACGGCGGCGGCGCTTGTCAATTTCGTTAGGCAGATCGCGTCACACGTTGGGCTCTGTCATCATCAGGGTCAGAGCCAAGGTGCTGGCCCTCCCACATACATCAGTCACAGAAGCACAGCCACTAAATAATCTGCCAGCTACACGAGACAAAAAAAAAAGCAAAGACGCATTTCCCCCGTATAGCCTTAACAGGCTGTCGGGGGCAAGTGCTGTTAGCGAGCACCTACAAAGGCCGGAACGGTACACGAGGGTGGTGGGTTGGCCAGCACCACAGCCGACCGCCTTTGTCTCCCTAGTGGCGATGTTTGCAGACCACACCAGGTGCTCATTTGAGGCTGAGTCGACCTACACGAGACACACGCTGACACACACCGACAAAAGACAAAGATCCCTCGTAAAGCCGAGTCAGGCTGTTGGGGCAAGTGCTGTTTGCGAGCTCTTATGAAGGCCGGCACTGCACAAGAACGTAGGGGGTGGGTGGCCAGCACTACGCCCGGCCGCCTTTGTCTCCCCACTGGCGATATGTACACATCGCACCAGGTACTCATTTGAGGTTGAGCAGGCCTAGGGGAGGCCCAGGACCGGTTCAGATAATCGTCACCGGTGTTAGCCGTGAGCGAGAATCGAACTCGAGTCGCGCTAAGTGCTGCGCTTCCTCTTCCTCACACACACGCGCAACCACACGTGCACCCCCACACGCACGCATACACACAAATACACACGCACACATACACACAAATACACACGCACACATACACACAAGGACACAAAATACACCGACAGGCTGACCACTCCAGCAAATCCGTGTAAATCATGCAATGTGCACCCAAGCTGTGTTAATGGAATGAAATGCCTCGGGCATTTACTTCTTCGAGAAACACTGCCTCCTAGATGCTGCCACTCTACACCCCCCCCTCCACTCATCCTTGATCCCACCTCATACCCTGATGCCCACCCCCAACCAAACACACTGGCCTTGAGTGTTATTGATCTGGGACTCTGGCCTCTCCCAATGAAATTACGACTCTTTCAAACTCGCTGTTTAAAATAATTGTCTCAACCTTTGCAACGGGAACAAAAAAAAACACTCGGCGGCAAAAGTATATCCCAGCCAAGCATGCACGGCCCCCCCCCCTCCCTCCCCCCGCTGGAGCAGGGAAATTGTATGTTATATACAATAACGGGCAGGAAACGAACACGAACAAAAATAGCTTGGCTTTGCCGGAGATCGGCCAACATTTGAAGGCGACCGTAATGGTGTTATGGATTACGACTTTGAATAGTTCTCCATTTTAATATAATTAACTGAACGTGCGCAAAAAAAAGGAATTCGTGGATGGTATAACGAACAAGCAGTAAGGTCACACATCCGTACAGCAAATTGAATACCACACCATTTCACAAGAAAATATTAAATAGACTCAAGTAATTTTAATTAATTTGCAATTTTGGCAGCCCGATGGCGTGGCAACATTTTCAGCGCTGCGGAATTTCAGGCGCCTTCTCTCGTAATTCCCTCCGTTTGCGATGCTTTCATTTAATTACCTTACCCTTTCTTTACACTGCACAATGCTGACACAGTCCGTTGAATATTTGCGCATTGCTGCGACGAAGTGAACTGCACACTGCCCTGCACATGAGCACAAACACAACACACACACACAGCTCCAAATCACGAGCCATGAATAAGTGATGGCCAACAGTGGCTGCGTTTGCATAACGCGCAAAAATATAAATCGTTACACGTACCACCACGACATGAAAAACAAAAATCCCGGAAAAATATCACGTCCAGCGCTGAGCGACAAGCGCGCGAGCTTCCAATAAAAGAAGAAGCTACACTCGTTGTTTTTTTGTCGCCTTCGACGAGACAGCGGCCCCAGCGTTCCGCGTGCGTAAATTTGCATATTGAAAATTCTCCTTACGCGCGGCATTTTTTGTTATTTTATCCGCGCAAAGCGGATTATGCCTCGCCGTGCATGATACACTATTCAAGACTGGATTAAGATGATCCTTGCACTAAGCCAGGACAATATTTTGGGTTTTCCTTGACCCTCTGGACCTTTTGAAATTGCATGTAGAGCCCATGGGCAGGCGGCTTATTCTCGGGCTGTCGCGCAACCAGATGCTGGCGAACGGGACAACATTCCACCAAAAGTGGGAATCATGAATGGGCTCACATGGAGAGTCCCAGAGGTACCGCGTTGGTTTTAGCAGTTGTTGCCTGTGCGGCTCTCCGCTTTGCGTGTGTGCCACGTGTTGTTCCGCATGATGTCCAACGTTTCACTCCACGTGCTGGTAGCTGCGGGGAATGTATTACTATATATTACAGTAGGGCTCCACGGTAGCGAAATGTTAACTCCCTCGCCTGGTATGCAGGAGGTTCGATCCCAATCCTGACGTCTGTATATTTGGAGTTTGCATGCTCTTCCTGTGAACACGTGGATTTTTCTCCGGGTCCTCCAGGTTTTCCCTCCACATTTAGGAACACGCATTTAGGGTATTTGGCAGATATAGATTTCCACGTGATAGCCACTTCGTTGAGCTATCATTTGTGGGCAGGTCGCTTCTGAAAAAAAAATAGCTATCTAGCTCAGTGGGGCCTTATCCCGGTAAAATAAATTAAATAAAAATTATAGTGCATTTAATACTGATTCATCTTCTCGCAATACTTTCAATTTCTCACGTCATGCAGTTGTTTGTCCACCCGATCTGCACTTGCTTTATTGCAGTTCTTTATGTTATTCGTTTTTTGACATATTGGTGACCAACGCCACTCTTGCAAACGAGATTTAATCCTGGTCTCCAATGTCCTCGCCAACTGGTTTCGCAAAATCAACTTTAACATTCGTCAGCAACTGAGTTGAGCAACTCGCGTTGAGAAAGCGGGCTTGCTCATTTCAAGACTGCGAGAGACGACAACAATTTGTGGCGGCCTTCAGCCAGCAGCGGATGAATCATGGCCGATGATGTACTTTGTTGGGGTGAGTAATACAATTCCCACTTTATTGATGGCGATGCACTCTAATGATTGTCTGGAAAGTTTACTCGGAGCGGCTACTGGTCGTGTCATATTTACATTCTCTGTGGCTTTATTTCATGTTCTGGGTTTGGCACAATCACGTTCAGTGTCAAGCATGTGTGCTGCAGTGTGCTGGGAAATATATAGCATCAGTGCCAGCGCGTCACAGCTGCACACTGCAGGAAGGTGTATTATGCACCCAAGACCATCCGGCCATAAAGTCATCAGAATGACTCCTTTGCACGAGGGAAGCACTCCGGTTGACATTCTACAGCCAACCGAAAGTTGCTGGTGAATTCTACGCGACATGCCGATCATCTCTGCTTTATATCTCCAAACAATTGGGGAGCTTGCTCCGGTTTCCACTTAGACAAAGCGAAACAACACTGGCCCACCTAAGCCAGACTTTTGACTTTTAAACAGCTTTTATTGCCGCCAGCAGCAACAGCACTGGAGGCGATTCCGATATGAAATACACAAAGTCACCAGCAACACAAATAAATGCAATAAACCCAAGCGCTGTGGCGCTAAATGCACCGCGCACAACACGAAAGAAAAGTCACGTGGTGGTGGTGGTGGTCATCTCGCACGCCACGGTGACGAGCGAGCGCTTCAGAAGGTGAACACGAGGGTGCCGTCCATGCTGGTACAGAGAGGGCTTTTCCGGCTCCCCAGCGTTCAAAGAGCTGAGCCAAGAACTAGAAACACGAACAGTGGCCGGCAATGTTCTATATCTGAGGGGAAAAGTTCATATCAGTTCCTGAAGAAGCTCCCAACGCATGGAGCGAAACGTTTACATAACGCTGAACAACGCATGGTCCAGCCCGAAAACACGTCAGACGGCTAAATTTTACTCTCCGCTTTGCTTTGTGAATCGCAGTGACTGCACTGATGATTACAATGTATGTATGTTCAACTTCTTTCGCACCTGACGTAGCCAACCGTGCTAATTGGAGGTGCGGTGGGAAGGACAATAATAGAAACACACGCATTTTTTTATTTTTATTATTACATTCCTATAATAATGTACAGCTCTCTGACAATCCACTGCTGGATGAAGGTCTCTTTCATGTCGTGTGAGTCATGTGAGTTGTTTGCACTTAGTTCACCATGCTGGTAACACTCAGCACTTCTGCTAACCTCAAGCCTCATGTCCACAACATATGACAAGCCCTACACAGATGGTCACCCACATATTTGCATATCAACATCATCATCCACTATTCTGGCAAAACGCCCGATGATGCTGGATGTAATTACCAGCGAAACGTCATATTCAAATTGTAAATGTTGTGGATTTACTCTCCAACACACCGTGGGCTGAAGTAGTAACTAAATGGCGTTTTGTTTACGTGGCAAATTCCTTACTGATGGCTGTGTCGGGTGGTGCAGGGTTACGACACATTTATACTTACGTGATCTAACCCAAAAACCTGTATAATTAATATTGGTCGTGAAAGCCTGCTACGTGTTAAACTGATCATCATCATCATTGTCGTCGTCGTCGGCCATGACCAATCCACTGATGGATGAACAGCTCACCGAGCAACCAACAAACCACCTCGCACCTGCACGTGAGCCAATGTCATCACTTCATATACACAGTGGATATATCCTCTCTGGTGTGGTCCCTCCCCCCCTCCCCTTTGGCTGCCACTCCATTGTTAGTCTCTACCGTACGACCGGCCATCATCCCCTCCAGCAACACGTCCTACCCAAAGCCTTATGAAGACAAACCAGAATTAACCTCGGTTAGTAGAGGCCAAATATTCCAATATTCTCGCCAGAATGAGGGTTGTAAAAGATACACGGATGCTGGCTTCAGCTGTAATGAACTTTGGACGATGTAAAAGAAAAGCTAAAAGCGAAGCCCTGCAATTGCTTGCTCATGCCACTGATGGAAAAAGTCCCTCCAATGGACAGCCCCCCCCCCCCCCCCGATAGAGGCTATTTTGGCCTCCTCTTCCACTCTGGCCAGACATCTTGGAAGAGGTGAGAGTACCCCGCTGTTTATCGAACCAGACCCGACCTGGCGATCAACTTAACTTGTGGGGTAAATTTGTTATTTAAGTAAAGCACTTTACTTCCGTAGCATTCATAGAACCCATCAATTTCTATGCACCCATCACGTCGTGTGAGCTATAAGAACCAATATTAATTGATGAGTTAATACAGAGTGACACATTTACGCGACTTCGTATCGCAGACTCCTCCTGAGACCGAGTAAAGCAATGCGGTGAGGCTCCGCTCAATAAATAAATCACATTTGCGAATACAAAAAATCGGATTACGGGGAAGCGAGCACTGAATTCTTGGCTGCGACACGCGTGGCCAGAAATCGTGTCTTACGTTTCTCCGATTGTAGCAGAGGGGGAATGCCTTGAGAGATAACGGTTTTAGCGTTCAAAGCTTCCGTGTTCGGCACATGCCATTGTTTCCCGAGTTGCAATTTAACCTCTGCCAAACACGCTTTTCCCATTTTCAATAATAATCCCAAGGACAGCCTGAGATGTATGGGGGGGGGGGGAGACGGGAATGATGCTCTGCGGCATCAGGTGTGAGAGATTTTCATTGGGTTTATCGGCGATGATGGCCATGGGTTATTCAGCATTGTCAAGTATTTTACGATGCTGCATAATGTGCTATCTGCACATTAATGGTATCAACAATTCTAAGCCTTGCTAACTCCCACAATTGGTTTTCACAATTTCACAATGCCCAGTGATTTTAATAACGTATTAATGGTGGCAGCTTAACCTTTGGCATGTCAATATTAAAATTGTATAATTCCCTCTATTTGATGAATCTGTTTGCTTTGTGTGTGTAGCTTTGTATTATTCTTCCAGTCGTGCTGTGGTGGAAGTCCCGTTCGGAACTTGAGCAGAGTGGTACATCGCACCGTGTTAGACAATGGCCTGTAGAACGAGATATTACAGAACTTCCTCCGAATTTCCTCCTTTTGTTGTACCCACCTACAAACGGAACTGCGTGTTACCACGTGCCCTGCTATGGAGAAATGTTTGTCGTACGGAATAATCAGATGTTTTTGTATTACTCAGAAGTGGAACTTAGTGAAATCAAGTGAGCAACCAAATTTTGACGTGATCGATATTTGTGCAATTAACATGTATGTTTGAAAAGTCTGGAATTATTCATGTAACGAATGTGTTTTGTTTATATATGTAATCTTATTCTGATTGCAGTTTGCTTATTTTGCTCTACTTTTTTTGTTTGTTTTTGCTCTTTGTCATCTTTGTGACGCAGGTCACTGTTGCGAATTGAGACCTCCTATCCACGGTCCCTCGACTTGCTCACCTGGTTACACCAAAACAACCTGCAAATCTGGTGGCCAAGCAAAACAAAACAATCAACTCACAGCATGGGTCGGTGCACAGAATGGAACCCCGGATTTCGGTGCTGGAAGCTCAAGTGATATATGACCTCTAAGCTACCCAGCCACCACTAAGGTCTTTAGCGCTCTAAACAAAAAAGAAGCTCGCGCAGTACTTGTCTCCGTTTGTGGTTCTGAGTCATTTATATATTTACAATATATTTATTTCGCGATACGTGAGCAGCTATACATTAAACTACACCTACGTATCATGGGACCGTTTTTGGCAATATTTAAAGTATGAAAGTATGAAGTGTGTAAAAAAAGTAAGAATAGGTTTTACCCCTTTTAAAACCCTTTAGTTATTCTTATTTTTCATACACGACCGTAGGACCTTTTTGAATATCGGTGCTGAAGACGCCTCCAGGCACTTGTGTGCAAGGCCTGAAACAAAATGCTCAGTGTAGCATCAATACAAAATCACATTAGCGCACCTCATATTGCCACTCATTCTTAACAGCCATGTCTTCATTGCTGCATGAGCAGGTCACCGCCGTTGTGGTGCGATTGTCGATGCGAGTGTGAATGATCCTTGACACCCGTGCGTGAATGTCGAACGCAGCGTCCACCTACACTCGTGAACCTCTGTATGCAACTGACAGATGGTTGCAAAATATACTGACATGGATCCCCCATCGATGTGTTCGTGTACAGCGCCCCTTTGTCAATGCACCACCAGTTAAGGGCCTTCTTACGGCGTGTGCGGTCGTGGGGGATATTTGACGAGACTTCACCGCGAAGGGAATCGAAGGGAATATTGATCGATGCATGGTGAACCTCTTTTGCACCGTACGTAGCCAACCGTGCTAATTGAAGGATCAGGTAAAGTGCAGGAATGAATATTGCTGCACTGCCCGCTGCTGACCACAAAATAGGCCTTACAGCCTATAACACCTGCTACGCATGGTGGTCGGCCAATTCAAGCGATATCCACGCTTCTTAACCCTGCCCAGGTGCTGAGATCGGGCACCACCCCAGAGGTGATTTGAGCAAACGCCGTTGATGTGTGTGATTATGTACAACACGGCGATTGGTTTAATAATCATCATCTCCGTTTAAAACTCCAGTACTATGTGTCACCGTTGCTTGCGTTTGAGAACTGGATATCAAGAGGCCACATGGGCATACTCACTGGAGATGTACCGTCGGTTGAGGTTAAGAATTGGATGGATCGTATTTATGCTGCAACATTTTGGAATTTAATCGGCTCTTCGGGTCGACTGAGCACAGTATTGGGCTATGAGCTGACTAATGTTAGTTCACATTTCTATAAAAAATATATATCGGATTTTTTTTTTAATTAGAATTCGATCGTGTGGAATATAAGATAGCTGCAGGTGGATGCTTACATGAAAGGATCGACAATGATGATGATAGTTTTGGGAAACATTCATCCAGGAGTGGAGTGACCAAGGCAATAGAAGATGATATTAATTTGACTCATTATTTGTATTTTTGAATGGAAAGGGATCGCATTTTTTGAGAAGGTGTATAATCTTTCCCACAAAAGGGAGCACGAGGTCCTGATCCCCCACGATGTAAATTCCACACTCATAATGGCAGAGCACAATTCTATCAATAGAACGACCACTACTACGGTTCCAACCCCATTGTGTTGCAGTGCACCGCACACTATGTGACGGCATTTGCTATTTCTTTTTTTCTCCCAATTCGGTGGCAATCACAATGTGGCAGGTTAATATCGAGGCCTCCTTCTCCCTTATGCGTCGCATGGCTCATTTTTTGACACAGCAGTAAACTAGATGTAGTGCCAATCCGCTGCGGTGCAGGGAATGTTTTTTTTCCCCTTCTCCTCTTGCTCTCGTACCGTTATATGCAATTCCAAAGACGCAAACAAAAAAAAGCGCACCATAACAGATAGACTGTGTTTCAGTGCGGCAATGAAACACTCAATATTCCGGCTGTCCCCAAAGTCCCAATGGCAGGTGTGATTGATAGAGTTAAGTGAAAGAGTGACGAGCTACCAATGCGTTTCACATTAATTCCATTAGCGGCACCCGACTTTTGGGGCCAGGCAAAACCTCGTGGTGAATTGTGCTCCTGCGCCATAAGCGACCCCTCCCCCCCCCCGTCCCTCCCTCCGAAGACAAATTGTGGAGAAAGGCGCCGGCCCACGAAACAATCGCACGAGTCACAGTGTGCGGTCGTGACAAAATATCGCATACACACACACACAGGCGCGAAGATGAAGACTCACCACGTGGCCACGTGGACTGTTGCGACAATTTCTATTAGCGGACACCGTATAAGGAACCGTGGCGCATTAGGGGTTGGGGTGGCCAGCGGCACGCCCGACTCCCCTTTGTGACCTCACAGTGCAGATGTGTACACATCGCACCAGGTAATCACTTTAGGCTGAGCCTACCTAGGGGAGGCCCACGACCGGTTCAGAAAATCGTAAACCGACGTTGGCCGTGAGCGTAAATCGAACTCGGGTCGCCGGATTCGTAGCGCAGGTGCGCTGACCACTGCACCGCCGCTCCACCCACGCGACGCATCTCACGCGCAATCTCACGAGCACACAGAGACACGGGCAGTAGGGCAAGCCAGGGATCAGGACAACTGATGGATATTGAGTTTAATCTTGATTAATTGGACATTTATCATCACGCACGAACCCCTCCGGCAACCCCACACCGTGCACTCCTGCTCTGCTGATGAGCACACAGTCATGCCAATATGCCACCTTGATGCTAATCCGGGTATTATTAGGTTACTGCTAAGAGGCCACGCAGTGTATCACTTCGCCCGGGCAGCTGCCAGCAACTATCCCCCAGCTCCGACACCGCTGGGGCACTTCCACGCTCGCGCACCACGCTTGTCATTTCACTTCGATTTAAATGCTTGATTCTGCATTTCCTCTTCCAGTCTACTTATTAAATTGCCCTAACGTGCGCCGAGATGAGTGATTGATGGCCGACGCTCGACGCTGTGCGGCTTAGCAGCGTCCCACACAGCAAGGCAGCCTACAGCCGCTGTCTGCGTGGTTGAGCTGCGGGTGTCATTTTGGCCGATGGAAGAAAAAAAAACACCATGAGATTGCCATCACTTTCATCCTTCATGGGATCGGCGTTCTATATTGCTTGTTAACAACGGAGGCGGCAGCATTTGCCCATGTAATGTTCTGCCGAAAATAATGTGGGTTTGTGTTTTGCTGTTTGAAAGCATCTAAGTGCTTGCTTTTAAAAGCCAGGAATGTGTGCTCTATTCTAATGTCATTAGAAAAGCCAACACTTTCACAACCAAGAAAGCCATCCGTAAAAGCGATGCTGAATGTTTTTGTTGTTATTATTATAATCATTTTTTACAAGGGTTTTAATAATATATTTGTCATGTGTACTCATTACGTACCCACAAGCAGGAGAGGTTAGAATCTCCCCTTTGTTGACACTAATGCAACTGCAGTCAGCGCCAATTAAAATGAAAAGGGCTGTGTCTGGTATATATCTATGATGATTATTATTATTGCGCTCGTATGTACTGCTGCAAAAAAAGTGCCAAATGAAATGAGCGTGAATTTTCACGAAAATACATAAACAAAACCACGAATGCGAATGATTAAGTCGCGATAATTACATTCAAAACAACAACAAAAGTGGAAGTTGAAAATGAATTTGCAAACCAGAGTAAGAAATATCCGGCAGCCTGCTTGACAACTCACGTGAAAAACATGGGACGGTGGTGACAGAGAGGGCATAAGGAGCAACGATGACTGACGAACCCCCAACACTGACAATCAACATCGTAACGCGCTCATATTTCCTCCCTGCACAATTAGCCAAGAACTGTCCTGAATGCATCATAACTCAATGGGCTCACGACTCAAAAACGATTCAATGGAAGAACCTTATTTTTTTTAGTACTTCACGCCGTTCTTTGATCCTGTATTATTAACATGTTTTTCCTCCACGTTTTTCATAATTTGAAAGATACTTGACAGCTCCGGCTGGGGGAATGTGAACGGTAGCGTAGTGATTAACGCACTACATTCAGTGATATCCTACCAGGCCGCACCGACCGGCATCATGAGGTATAACCACATTTTCTCCTGTAACCGACGCAGTGTCCAGAGGCCTTCGCCAAGCAGCTGCATGAGAAAGAGTTATACATTGTTGTTATTTTTTTATAAACATTATTTATTAAATCGATTGCTGTCCCTACAACCAGTGTGTCCATCCATCTGTAATATATAACACAACATCATCATAATCATCACGCACTAACCAGCATGGTCAAGTGATATCATTACAATTCCATGACGTAGCTTTGGGACACCTCGTCGGGCAGTGGAATTATGAAGAGCTGGCATGTGACGTCATCTCATCTACGCCTCTATCTAAGGAACGAAACAGTTAGACTTCTCCACAAATCTGGCTGCTGTCCGCCTGATGAAGCTAGTTGTAATTACTGGCGAAACGTCGTACTCAGATTGTAAATGTTGTGGATTTGCTCTCCAATACACCGGTGTGCTGTACTCGTAACGAATTGGCACGTTTTGTTTCTGTGACAACCCTTACGAATTGGCTGTGTCGGGTGGTGGCGGGTTTAACGACACATTTATATTTACACGATCTAACCCAAAAAAACCTGTTATGGATGGAATTATAAAAGCTATGCTGGTAATGGAACATTTCTACTCAAGGCAAATCTACTGCATAGCTTAAACTCAACATCTCCCTTTGAATAATATAAATACACATTCCTGTTCTCTCGGGGCTCCCATAGAGTCATAAACGTCCACTGCTACTTATTTCATAAATGTAAGATGTTAAATTTTGATTTAAAGCTTTCGTGACTGCAGAGATTCATATTCTTGGTTCTTTCGGTAAAGTCACGTAAAAGGGAAACAATAAAATAATAATATAAAACAATACAATTCTCACGACGTTTCGACTGCAACACAAGAAATCATCATCAGATGTGAAAACCACAGCAAGAAATTGTTCTTGTTGTGAAGAAAATTTAATATAAAAATGTTCTTGTTGTGGTGAAAACCACAACAAGAAAATTTTCTTGTTGTGGTTTTCACACATGATGATAATTGCTTGTGTTGCAGTCGAAACGTCGTGATAATTTTATTGTTTTATATTTTTATTTTTTTATTGTTTCCCTTCTACGTGACTTTACCGAAAGAACCAAGAATAAGATGTGAAATATATATATACAAACGGTATCAAATGAAGACATCAAAACACCACATAATCACAAGACTTGTCATGAACACAACTTTCACGTTGGCTATTGGCGAGGAACAAGCCAGTTTGACAGCCACATTGGGAAGTTTCAATTTTCCGAAGTACACTTCAGTGCAGTTTTACAGCAGCCGCGCGTCGTGTTCACGCGTGCACGTCTCTCTCTCTCAGCGCCTCGGGAAAGCCAATCTCGCAAACAAAGCGGACCGCCGCAGGCATCAGGACGAGCGCCCCTATACCAGGAGCACGTCGCCTGATTCTTCAACGGGGGCGAGTGATAGCGCGAGTCGCGGCATGCTTAGCGAGGAGGTGGTCAGCACGTGCTCACGGCGTCACGGTGGCTAGGAGATGTTAACCACCTCGCTTGTAATGTAGGAGGTCGTGGGTTCGATCCCGACCCCGAACGCCTGCTGTGTATTTTTTTAAGTTTGCGGTGTCTCTTTTCCCGTGGTCGCGTGGATTTATCTCCGGGTCCTCCGGGGTTTCCCTCCACGTTTAGAAACATGCGTTGAGGAGTGTTTGGCTGCTATACATTTCCACATTGGTAAGCCACTTGGTTGAGTTATCATTTGAGGACAGGTCGCTTCTGCAAAAGATATATATATATAGCTCAGTGGGCCTTACCTGGTAACACAAAAAAAATGTTTCATTTGGCTGGGGCGGACGCCAAGCACTCTTGATGTCGCAATCGAAATTAAAACTCTCCCAATGTTCGAACTTGATTAGGCGCTTTCGTGCCTGCAGGAATTACTCTTTGTTTTTTTCGGTAAAGTCACGTAGAAATAATAAAAAATAAAATTATATAATAGCATACGACGTTTCGATCGCAACACAAGCAATCATCATCAGGTAGAGGAAATACATAACCGCAGATATATATATACAGACCTTAAATAGGGGGAATTAACACAGATATACCAGGGGATACAGAGAGACGGAACATCACACTAAATCAAAACAGGGTTTAGCAAAATTTGGAAACTATATAACGCAACACAAACGGTCGGTTAAAACACAATTAACGCATGGTTTGGTTGAATACGCTGTTTCAAAGATTTTTAAATTGTAAGTTAAGTGTGAAATTAAAGATGCTGTACGTATGCGTACGAAATCGGAATAAAACCTAAAAGAAAACTAAAATAAAATTATATTATCGGTACCGTCTTCAGGTCACAAGACGTACCGAAGCTCCACAAGGCGTGTGGCATAGTTTGGCGCCAGCTATCATAGAGTGCGGTCGTGTCGCTACAGTTTTCTGTGGCGAGTACAACACCTTTAAAACCAACGGCGCCACTACGCCTCTCGAAATACATTTTAGGTTGAACCGCTTGTGCGTTCTGAGATTCAGCGGGAAACGGGACCGACCCTGCAACTTGCAGACGCCTCGGAAAGGGTTAAGTGACAAAGATATTCGTCAACGAAGTAATTTCCCTCCCGCCATCGCTCTTTCTAAGCTCTGATAACCGTGCCCCATTCAGGAAACGTATTAAACGTGATTTTTTTCTAACTCTTAAACATTTTTTTTTTATTTTACCAGCTAAGGCCCACTGAGCGATATAGCTATTTTTTTAAGATGCGACCTTGCTATCACAAATGATAGTGCAACGAAGTGGCTTATCGTTTGGAAATTTATAGCAGCCAAATACTCTTAAACGTATGTTGATTCTAATGTGGATGGAAAGACTGGGGGAACCCGAGAAAATAAACGCGACAACGGGGAGAGAGAACGTGCAAACTCCGAATATACAAGCATCAGGGTCGGATCGAACTCACGGCCTCTTGTATACCTGGCGAGGTAGTGAACATCTCGCCACCGTAGCGCCCTATCCATTGCACCTTCAATGGTGCTGTTTTTTTGCTGGCCACTTGACGTTTTGAGCGTGTGCTGGG